GAGCCACTAGCACGCTCCTCCAGCTGGGGCAGAGAAACCTCAAACTGGGATTAACTGTGGCCAGGACAGCACCCATACTCCCTCAAGGACCAGCTGTCACCCCCACACCAGGCAGCAGCCACTGGGAAGGCAGGGCCCCACCGGCACCATCTCTCCCTCTCTCCAACGGATCCTCTACCTTCTGGATCTCCTCTGGGTTGAGGTTTGAGACGTTGAGGATCTGCTGAGCTTCCTGGAGGCTGATGCCGGTGATCCTGGAGGCAGCGGCTGACTGGGGTCTCTCTGAGCGCCCTCGCGCATCTGCTGCCGCTTGGCTCGCTGCCCGGAGACAACAAGAGCATGAGTCCCCCCCACACTGCCCCCCCCCAGGACCCGGGCAGCAAAGCCCACAGGCTCCAAGGTGCTCACATCCCAGTGTCACCCCTCAGCCCTCCTCACGCTGCCTCCAGCCCGCAGGGGTCACCAGGACGAGGTCCTTGGCCCTTGGGGTAGTAGCAGGAACCAGGGGGTACCCGTTTGTTGGTGTCCCCAGTGAGCGAGGCTGCAGGCAGGCAGAAGCAGGCAGGGCAGGGCTGGGGCTGCCATGTCCCGGGGACCATGCTGCTCTGCTCTTTGGGGCTGCCATGATGTCTCGGCACCTGGCAGCACTGCCAGGTCTGGGCTGGTGCCTGGGATGGCTGTGGGGAGCCCGGCCCAAGCTGAAATGCCATTAGGCTGGCACCAGGATGTAGGTGCTGACTGGGAAGCGTCTCCTCCAGGCACAGCCCCAGGGGACGGGGAGCAGCGGGGTGCCCTGGGGAAGGGGATGGGGATCCCGTGAGGTGCTCAGGAACATGGGCACGCTCCACACAGGGAGCAGCATCCTGACGTGGGGGGTGGCAGCTCGGCTCCTACCTGCGAACTCCTGGCGCAGCGCCCGCATGAAGGCCCGTCCGACCACCTGGGCCCCCACCAGGATGATCTGCGCCAGGTACTTGGCCTGTGGGGACACCCTGCTGTCACAGCCGCCCCGGGCCCCTGTCCCCAGCCCTGTCACCTATCCCCCCGCCCTGCTCAGCCCTGTCCCGTCCCCCCGGGGCCCTGCCCTGTCCCTCCCTGCCTCCTGTCACGCCGTGCCCCGGCCCAGCCCCGGCCCTGTCCCCTCTCCCCAGGCTCTATCCCCCCAGGATCAGCTTCCCCGCACCTCCCTGCGCCCTGTCCCCTCCCCGGGCCCAGCCCAGCATCATCCTCCGCCTCCCGGGGCCCGGTCCCTCCGCCCCCGGACCCTGCCCAGCCCGGTCCTCCGCCTCCCCGGGCCCTGTCACCTTCCCC